GAGAAAAGGTATTTATGCTTGGAGAGAGTGGAGTTTTGCATTTTCTTACAAGCTAGAATATTTCTCGGTTGCCAGTTTGAGGCATTCTTGACCATAGTCGGTGACAACTCTAGAAGGTAGGGCGAGAGAAAGGAAGCTGGGAAAGGAGAAAATGGACCCAATGCTGGCAAGGAAATCGCCAGCGTTCCGTTTGCTTCCTCTTCTCCCACATTCCTTTCCCTCATCCTACCTTCTTAACCTGCAACATACTATAGTTACAGCACACTTTTTTTCTCTTACAAAAGTTTCATTTTCTTCCTGAAATTTAATTTAACACTATACGTACAGTGCCTGAGGTTGGTGTGATACTGTTCTCTGACATTCTTAAGGATCACATGTGCATTAGGTGTGCTTGGTTGTTGTGTGCACTGGTGTTTGAGATCTGCTATAGTATAGTTTTTGGCTTATTATTTATCAGTATGTGGTATATTGCTCGCCAAAGGAGGTTATTTTTTAATTTTTTATTTTTGCTGCTACTATCGTAAAATACTGAGCAAGCGCCCACTCAAAATTTGAAGATATTTGCAAAAAAATGTGGATAGGCACTTGTGAGGTCATCAATTTGACATATATGGATATTGTTTTAGATGTTTTAAATTTGGGGGTGAGCACTTTTTGTGGAATGATCGAATGCGGTTTTCTACGGTAGATTTTTTGAATATATATAACTGCACCCAGTAACTTGTTTTTGGCTGCAACATAGTATTCCTCGGTGTTCGGTTTCAGTTATTGTAACGGTCCAATATTTTTGTAGCTTTAAATGCGTAGATCTCTGAGTGATCATGCATCTTATATGTCAAAATTAGTATGTCGGGAACTTTCGAGCGGCATTTGTGCATTCCTTGGTCTTCACAAATTAACGTGATTTTCTGAAGGATATAGCCTTGGACTTTAGTGATTTTGCCAAAGAGACGGGTAATCTAGACTTCAACCTTAGTAGCGACCATTCTTATGTAAAGCTTTCTTGAGCCGTGCACCAGACGTTGGCTCGCCCGATTTTCCTAATTCTGTTTACCCTCCATGGGGTGGGCCATCTCCCGGTATATTTCATTAAGCTTGCCAGCATCTTGTGTCTCTTGATTGTGGTTCTTGCTAGGGACGTCGTTAACCAGCCGAGGCAAGACTACTTAGCGGGTTTAACATTTTTAACTTTCAACACAAAATTCGATAAACGTTTGGCTGCGATTTGCATCTACGGAAATTGAGACCAAGTTGGTGCCATTCGGCGAAGGAAGATAACAGATGAAATAATCAACTAAAACAGATACTTGTTTTTATACTGTGCAAGAAAAAAAAACAAAAAACATGAGCAATTATGTTTTGAGATGTGGAATAATCTACTGAATAAATTGGGGTTTTAAACCTTTCTGCAGAAGTCGAACCTCGGGTTAAAAGATGGTTTTGCGACGTCCCAAGCTTTTGCATTTGGCGATGTAATGGTGGAACGCGGCTTCCTTTCCTCAGCTTTGCCAGACAGCATGTGGTGTAAATATTTTTTTTTCTTTCGTTTTGCTTTCCTTCCAGGCTTTTTTCAGTTTCGTAAAGTGCAGAAATCTGTCTCGATGCGCGTAAGGACAACAGTGAATGGGACTTGTTTTTTCTCCTCCTTGTCTTTGCCAAAGATCTTCATTCTGTTTACAAAACTGCCTTTGTCATCAGTTCTTTTTTTTTTTCTGTTTCACTCGCTTTGTGATTTTCAATTGAAAGAATTAAACTTGTGTTTGCATGTTTTTTTTCCCTGGCATGTTTATTTTTATTTTGGGGGGGGCCTTGTACAGAAAATGTCAAGCGTTACAATTGTTTGTATGTTTTATTCCTGTTTGGTGCTGCCTGTGTTGCAACGTGTTTTTAAGGTATTTATTTTTCTTTTTAGTTCTTAAAGGCGCACTGATGGGTCAAAATCATTTTATTTTTATTATCCGAAACAATTGAAAGCTATGCCTGGACATTCATTACCCCCTCAAAATTCGAAACTTGGGAACACAGTATTCGTGAAGTAAAAAAAAAAAAAAAAGAAAAAACGATTTCCAAAAGCCGAATTTAAAGTTCCCGCGCGATCCACACCAGTGCAGCGACGTCAAATACTGAGTCGTCTTGTAACTTGAGTTCTTCTGATGCCCTCGAACCTTCTTAACCCAAAGTGTCGTGTTCGCCCGCCTCCCAAAATCGACCCCTCTCCTTCGTGCGCGACGCCTAACGCTGTGAGCAGAGAATGCTTGACTTTCGAGTTTGAAGTTCTTTTAGGGTCTTTTTAGCCATCTCAAATTGTTTTGAAACGGTGCGAGGTTGAAGAGAACGCGCAGTGGACAATGGTGAGCTACGTGAGGGGCCACGACGGAGTCGCAACCGAAACTACAGTGCACAGACACCAAATCCAGTTGTTTCGACCGTTCAACATTTTTTTTTTTCTAAGTCTGGGAGGTCGTCAGGCACCTAAAAAAGACCACTTCGTCAGATTCCCCGACTCGCCGATCATTCTCTGCTACATGCGTCGAGCGTCGCCATGTTTTCCGAGGGAAGATAAAAAGCCAGGAGGCGACATCACGCTGGAATCTGATTTTCGGTATTTCAAAAAGAAGGGTCGTAATGCGTTCACAATTGCGTTCAGAAACATGTCTTACGAATGCCGTAACTAAATATTATAAAAATTTTGCTTACGGAGCTTCTACATTTTATGATCGATTACATCAAAAATAAAAAGAAGCAAGGAGCTGAAAGGAGAGAAACTCAAAAAATAAAAGGCATGCATGAAAAACTTTCTTTTTTCGCGTTGTATTTTTTGCATGTTTGACTGCAAGTTGCATTGTTTTAAACAACAAAACAAAATTTGACTTTTGGGGTGTCGGTGTTCCTTTCAAGGTATTTTGAAATGTTCAGTCTATCCAAAAATTAATACATATTATGAGGTTGAAATCAACATTGTGCTATTATATAAGCTACGTACCACATAGGGATATGTAAATGACAAATTAACTTCAATACATGTCGTAAGAAAGCTGTTTTTGCACTTTTCAAAGATAAAATTGGGTTGTCATGCTCCCTATAGCCATATACCATTTTATTATAAATGGGTATGATCCGTTCACAATATATAGACAAGTATATGTGGCTTTTTAAAAAAATGTCGCATGTGATGTCCTCATTGCTTTAAAATTGCAGTGCTGTTCGTAATATTTTGACAGGTTTATTAAGAGGCATTTAGGCCATTTTGCATTATGAGACATTTGTACATTGTATGTTGTGAAGATACAGCATCACACTGCTTAGTTCTTACTGTAGCTCCAATGATCGGCCAGGCGATGAATCTGATTTGTGTTTTGATAAGCATCACACAAGCAATTTAGTCTTTGTTGCCCCTGGTTCTTTCACTTTATTGCTCCAATATACTGCAACTTCTGCGTTTCTAACGCTTCATTGCCTTTAATGCACTCGTGTGGCTTTCATCGATGCTTGTTGCACGACCTACTAGCCGGCAAACCCTGCTGTCTTCTGCTACTGACCTCCCCTACGAAATGTTTTTGTTACTATAATCGTGCTTTTATCATCTCGCTGAGAAGAAACGAAATCATTAACTTGTGCTCATCATTGGTATTGATTCGGTGAAATGTGTGGAGAGTCTTTAGAGACTACAGCTTCTCGGTAGTAATAGACTCTCTCATGACTAAGCAAAAACACAACTTGTCGTAAAGGTGGGAACGTGTCGATACGCCAAACTCGAGAGACTTCTATTCATACAGAACTACCGAGAATCGGAAATTGCCAATTGCTTCGCTTACCTTTGCTGGGCACAAATGGTGCTTGCGTCCACAAAATGCAAGCAATTTACAGTCGGGCAAACGCTACCCATTTCCTAACGTGCAACCAAATTTTAATTGCAACTGACAATCTTTTTTTTTCTTTTACTTTTTTTCTTCTGTTGGTTTTCCGTTTTTTTTTAGATGGGGTATAGTTCAAGGTAGGGAAGTGAACCTTTCACTCAACTACTTTTATGGTTTTCGGCAGCATTAATAATTTTATGACATTGGACTTTATGTGAGCAGTCTTGCGTTTTCTAATGAGCATTGAAATGTATCCTGAAAACTAAGTATTTCGTAGCTGCGACGACTTCATGCCATAAACACAGCCATGCCTAACAAAGAAATTAATATGCCCTTTGAATTTGGCTTTCCATATCCCTAAGCTTACTTTTTATATGTAGTACTCACTGTTGTACATTGTAGTTGTAATTTGTAACCCTCCATAGTAAATTTTGTATGTAGTTTCTTGGAAAATGGGGAAGAGTATTTTCCTATATACAAAAACAAAGTGGCAAAAATCTATACATGCTTGTAGATGATTAAAGCAATTGCATGTTTTGGAAGCTCAAATTTTAACAGCTACTGAATTTTCCATCTAGACGGATACTAGACAGAAGCTATCTTAAGCCCTTTTTGTTTCAAATTTGACTCGCTCATTGGAGAGTGATAGTGCCGCACAATGTTATAGTTTGCAGAGTAACATCGGCAAGTCATTTTGGTATCTTCCCTATCGTTTCAAGACTATCATGTCGTGCCTACTGCAGTTCAAGGACTTTGTGTAAAACTTCCTATTTTCCCTAACTTCAATGGTCTGCAAATCTCTAGCTTTCCTGTCCCTTCTACGTTTTTGATGCTTCTTCTCTACCCCAGTCTCAGGTTAAATCAGCATGGTTAAAAAAAGATTTTTTTTTTAATTGTTCCCGATAATATTGTTATTGTTTGAGTAGTTGCGTCTCCCGACACCGTTGGTCATCCTCACTCCAGCTGCTTTGCTTTTTCACTTCGCACCGTTGTCACCTCCGCAAACAGTGGGTCGTCATTCGAATGCATGCTCGAGGGCGAGAGTGCGGCGTGGCAAACACGGAAACGCATGGAAGCAAACGTGGGCACCCTCCTCCCCATCCTTCCCCTTTTCCCCCTCTTCCATCCACCCGTGGTTTGCAGACGCTGGAGTCCAAGCTGGCGTCCTGCCGCAACTTCGTCAAGAGTCCGCAGCGAGAGGACGTGGAAGGGCTCGGAGCCATTTCCGGCGTGGCCGCCGCCGGGTAAGCGACCTCTCCCGCCGTCTCGTCCGACGAATCCAAAGTTCTGCGATAGCTCGTTACGAAAAGGAAGCTGAAGGAATCCAATCCAATAGCTATGGTGGCTGCTACGCAGCTCGTTGCCGCTTCAGGATTGTTTCGGTTGCGTGGTTGGGACAGGAGGCCCAGCCATGCGACTGTTAACTTAGTCTCTCCCTATGACGAACTGCGGTCAAGGCTACGGGCCAGCAGATCTAATGGCGGACCGGTTAGAAACCACGTGACGTGTTGGTCCGACGGGCGTATTGTTAGAGGGGGATCGGCGGCAGCGCGCGTCGGCGCACGGGAACGCGTGGAGCGAAGGATCGCGTTGCAGAGCCCGGGGACCCAGAGTTCGATCCCCACCCCCGCCTGCTACGGTCTGGGTGCACATCGTACCGGCATGCAGTCGTGCATCGCTACCGCGCAATGCAGGTCAAAGACCCCGAGCTAGCGGTTGTACTGCACCGGCTAGATTTCTCATCTACGGCCGAGAGACTGGTCGCCTGTTTCCGGCCGCCGAAACAAACGTGCGACGCAGTTGCGTATCGTCGGAGCAGTATATTGTGTGGTTTCTAACTCGTTCGCTATAGCTTCGGCTGCTCTTCGTCGTATGGCTTGACAAGGCGTACAAGTAAGGTGTCCACCAACCTGGAAAAGCTGGAGAGCCTGGAAACTCGGTTAGGTGCGAGAAAATGCCCAAGTTTAACGCTCAGCGAGGCGGGAGGGTGCGGTGTGCGAGAGACGGCGGCGACGTGAGCCGCCAACCTGATTTCTCAGATTGGACGGTAATGGTTCAAAGAGCCGCCGCAACTCCAACCTCTGCACATTCTTCTTTTGCCATGTTCGGAGACTTTCATCGAAATATTCGGGGAAATCCTAGAAGTGACGAATTTGGGAGAAGCGGTTTGGCGGACGCCCTGAGGAGGTTCCAAGCTTGCGAACGGAACCGGGCAAAACTCCGAAAGCCGTCGGCAACAAACTTTTTGTCACTGGACCGTCTGCAAAGTTCCCGTGCAGTACAGCAGGCGCAACTAAGCTGCATGTGCTTAGCTTTCATGGGGAAGATTAGATGTATATGGTTGAACTGAGGTGGCAAGCACGTGCAGAGCACCCTCTGTTTTAGGTTTATGCTCAAAACGGTAGTCTTAGATGTCAACGTGTGCAGCGAGTATTGCTACGGTCCACGCATGATCCTTGCGGAGTTGTCCGAAAAAGCCCAGTATACAACGTCATGGTGACCCCCAAAAAAAAAATAAACTTAACTTTTCTCTTTTTTTTTTTTTTTTTTCAAGCTCTGTAGTATTTTGTGACTGCACACCCCGCACATTGCTGCGCCCCTCTCGGAAGGTCCCGTGACACCCACACGACATTGGATTGGCTTCGATGGCTCATAGCATGCTGGGGTGTATCGTAACGTGAAACGGTGTGTAGCGACAAGTACGTGGTGCGAGAAGGAATGTAAACGGGTATGGTGCGGGACGTCTCAACCCACCTCAGTCGACGATGTCAGAGTTGGGTCGGAATGTCGCATCCTTTTGCTCTCTCTCTCGCTCACAGATTTTGATCAGTAGTTTCAGTTTCACTGGTTAGGTCTAGTTCTGCCACGCTCTGTTTCCTAACTAAATGCTCGTCCACTAGTTCTGAGAAGGAAGAATAAATTGTTTTAAAATAATTGTAGTGTTCCTTTAACGAAGGTACTTTTTAGAACTGTTTTTTTTTAATTGTCGAAATGTGCATCTACATGTTTTGGAACTCGGCCGGCCGAGAGCTTGTCTCCTCACTTTCCAACGTTTTTTTTTTTACAGGCGAGCTCACCTCAAGCAACGTGCGCTCTCGAGCCCCCAAGAGTTTGTGCCGCTCGCCTTTTGAGGAAGGCCGGCGGAAGAAAGGACTCGAGTTTTAATCAAACAATCAACCGCAAGGCACAAAGACAGTCGTTTCGCGCACACAGCGTGTCTACTCGCCACCTCGCGGCTTTTCCGACCAAACTCCCTCGACCGCAGCAAGACCGGAAACGGCAGCTCTGCGGTTTCGGTCATGCAGAGACGTTTGTCGGCGGGAAACGGAAGGCAGTGAGTGCATCACATGTGTCGCGTTTCTGCAGTACCGCGCGGCTTTATTTAAACACAAACGGACTTCCTGGTTTTGTCATCGATGTCAATGTTTCGGAGAGCTGGAGCCTTTAGCTCTTCTAAGTAAGGGCCTAACTTTACGGGAAAGGTTTTTTTTTTTTCTTTTAATTGTTTTCAGTGTTTACTTTGGAACTGTTTGCGTCGAACTCTCATTTTTCGGCGTAACGTCTTGTGTGTCATTGACCCATATCTCTGTGCATTGTTTTTTTTTTCTTTCATTTTGAATTTTAGAAATTTTTAGTTGCTGACGAGATTCAGAATGGCTGAGCATCTCTTCAGAACGGTGTTTCACCGAGGCCCATTAGGTAAGGTACAAACACTTTACCATGCTCTAGCTGGTAAGGTAAAAACACCTTACCATGCAAGAGCATGGCAAGGTGCTTGCTAGCCTTTAGTTTAACGTTCCATTCAGGGGCTTAGCGTTTTGGGGTGTTTTGTTTAAATGGCTCTGTGTTTTACGGGACTTCCGTCTTTTAAGTCAGTGAATTCGTCTTTGTCTCTCAGTATTTGTTGTCGTCCGTGGCCCTTTGACCGAATGTTAAATCCGGATGTTTAGAAGATTGAAGCAAATGTTCATAGTGGCTGTTCAGAACTGTGTATATGGGATCAAAAAGATCACTAGATGTTCCTAACTCAGCATTGCCCATGTTAAGGGGGGACATGGGTCATTGGAGCCAAAAATGTCCTAAAACTGTATTCTTTTGAAAATGGCAATGGCTGTTATTCTTCTGAATTCATCAGGCTTCTAATTTCATGGATGAATATGTGGGCTATAAATCAACTAATAATGTCTATGCGGGCTGAATGTGAGTTGAAGTTGACTCTAAAACATTGCTTTCACTAGACACAATTTTCGGACTCGTGAAAAGTTTGCAGGAGAGATATCTCAGCAACCAGAGCAGATAGAATTATAACCTTTCCTGAAATGTGTAGCTAAATGTGTGAAGCATACAATGTTGAGAGCAGATTTTCTAATAAAAGTCCAGAAAATTGTTTATTTGATCTTTTGTTTTATTATTTGTTAGCCATGCATTGAGCACTGAACTTCAATATGTGTTAAAATCATTAATAGTGTGTTTATCTTAAAAGTACTTCCAACATTGTATGCTCTACACTTTCTAGTAACTAGCCATGTGTTACAAAGGATATTTTGTTGAGTAGTTTGTTTCGTATCATTCCTCCAAACGAAGGCAGGCGAGTTTTAATTACCTTGAGGACAATTCTCCTGACTGAGAAAACAACCAGATATATGAAATCAGCACAAAAAGCTGAACAAGCTTATGCAGTTTCAATGGGTTTGGTCACAGAATAAGAAAGAAAGCTCCAAGACCAGTGTTCCCCCTTAAATCTTTTGTACTTTCTGTTTGCATGATGAGCAAGCGACCATAATTGGAGAGTGAAAAATTCTTAGCATGCTTTACGGCGGACGTGTTCAAGAGATGTCGCTATTGGAAACCATGTCTGCACAATGTGGCGTACGTTAAGAGGTTTCTGAATCGTTGCAAGGTCTGTTCTTAGTGGAACTGCCTGCAGCTGTCCTTGCCATGATTTCTGGATTGAACCAAATTTTCAAACAATCTCTTCATTGTTTCATGCACGGCAGTCATCTGTTATGTATGCGTTTATCTCGAAGGGAAAAAAAAACGTTCCGCTACCTTCGCTGGGCTTGGGGCAATGCAGTACACTTTAAAAACAAACAGAAAAAACTGGTTGGTTTTAGGAATTGTCTAGCCACAACTCTATGTGAAGTTCTGGGAATAGTCTAGCACACTGAAGTGTCTACTCTAGCCTTCTATACCAATTGGTGAAAAAATGGACCAAGCACGCTCAAATCTCGACTCTGGATCAGTGTTTTCTGGTGTGGGAAGTTGTCGAAATTGCTACCCTCTAGTTTCAGTACAGCTGTTTACAGGATTGTGAGAGGCAGAAATGTCCAGAGAGGGCTACCGTAAATGGAGGCTCGGCGTCAACGTCCTCAAAGTTCATTTTAAGCGTGGCCTCAGTCGTTTTTGATACAGTGGCATTACCTGCCGCTGGCATCTAGGCATGAAGTATTTCAGTGGTCTTATCACCCAATTGTAGCGGTGTTGGGCGAGTCATGTCAAAGTCACTACTTCTCGACTCCTAGACAGTACGGAGAGAAAAAAAAACATTTACCGGTGACCCGTATCTCTGCTTTACATAGAGTATTTGAGAAGTGGTAGTTTAAATTTGTTTAGAAGCCGACGGTCATTACAAAGAGTCAAGGACATGTTCATTCATTTTCTCGCTAAATTTAGCGGGGAACTCGATGTCGTACGGCGTCGGGTCGGAGGACATTGTGATATTGCAGGGTGCCAGGACTCGACACGGTGGCACAATGTGACCTAACATCAACCTAACGTCAAACAATTTGGTCTACGAGAAAAGAGTCAAAGTACAGGCTAGCTGGTGGAAGTCAACCATTTCGTCGTTTACCCTGAGACTGGGGGGTTATTTGAAGAGCAGAAGTAACAGAAAAAACAGACAGATAGCTGAGTTTGAGACCTGTCTGTTTTTTCTGTTACTTCTGCTCTTCAAATAACCCCCCAGTCTCAGGGTAAACGACGAAATGGTTGAATTTTGTCTACTTTTTTGTTTGTCTGGGAGTAGATTTAGTTCATGGAGAGGCGACAAGTCGCCGATTACCATGAGAAACATGACTGCTTTCTTTTTTTTGTTGCAAACAAAGCAGTTAATGTGGGGTCCTTCAGTGAAAAGTGTGGTGGATGTGTTTGCAGACAGTAGCTTTGGGTAGTTTTAATGGCACTCAATGAAGAGCGAACTTGGCAGACAACCGGCACATCATTATTAGGTAGTATACAGCAGAAGCGGTACCGGATTCAAAGCGCCTGGATAGTTCTTCGAAAAACAAGGTACATTGCGATTTCTGGTGACCAGATATTTCTCTCCCGTTACAAATCGATCTAAGCCGTGCAAAGACTCTAGGGTGCCTTAGCATCCGCTACATGTCCAACAAGCATTGGCACGGCGTCGTGCTGCCATCTTGTTGGGCAGACTTGCGTGTGGCGACCTACCAGATCCCGAGCGACAAGGACGACGCTTTCAGAGAGGCTGGCGGTCACGTGGACGTGGACAAATACTCCCACGGGTGTCGCCTCGGTACACGGACAGTCTTCACGGGAGGTCTGCAATTTGCCTTTCCACTGCGTCGTTTGAAACCGCAAGTTTGTCCCAACGGTCTTGGCTAGTCTTCTGTCGCATTGCGCGGCAGTCGCAGTGTATAAAGGTGTGTCCTCGTGCGTGTCGTGTTCGGAACTGAGCGATTTCTGTTTAGTTTGCTTCTTAGGAGTGTTCTTTAGGACACGCTCGTAATCGTGGTCCTGCTTCTGGAAGTGGCTTTCTGTGCGTTACGCGATCGCACCGTTTGAGACAATAAATTGTGCAATCTCCAGGATGGTTCTCTTTGGCTCGTCTCGGAAGCTGCGACTGCTGCCAGCGCGAGACACATTTCTTGCGGAATAATTTGAAAGTTTGGCACCTCTTTCATTAACCATTTGACGGTCGTCGCCGTACGTGTGCAAAGGTGTTTACATGTCTGAAAGTGCCCACCAAAACACGAAACTTGATATGTCTTTGAACTATAAGCTTTTTATTCACACGGTGTTTCGCTTTCACTGGGCTATCTCTAGTTTCCAGGTTAGATGCTCCGCAAGCGTGATGCTCACTTTGCATAGTGGCTGCTCTGGCGGTAGTGCGAACGGGAACGCTGGCTTTAAGGCCCGTTCACACTCTTGCAACCTCTTAAAACTGGGTTCCTTAAAACCTCTTACAACGAGAGGACACACTGGCGCCATCTATTGGGTAGCAGTGTAAACTTGGCAGTCCGGCATATTTTATATTTCTCTCGCGCATTATCCTTTCTTTCTTGGCTCGAAAAACTTTTGTCAACGTTATAAACGAGCCTCTCTTCTAAATATTACGCACATTTGACCTCGAGAATCCCGCGAAACCTTCACTCTTGTGAAATGCAGTTCCAGGGTCACCACATAGATGGCACCAGAATGCGAGTTTGTTGCCTCGTCCTAAGAAGTTTTAACAGATCTCGTCTCTCTGCCGTACTCGGTTGCAAGAGTATGAACGGGCTTTCAAGATTCACATTTCTAACACCTTTGGGAATTAAATTTGGATGGTGAGAGTTCGTCCGAAGAAGCTTCGTTAAGTGGCTCCGGTCAAGAATCTGAAGCTGCAGGAACATTGCGGAAGCAGATGCACCAAAATATAACCGAATAGAAGAAAGGCGACAACTTTGCCAACTTCAATATTTTCATTCAATGCTTTTAAACCTAAACAGCGTGCAAGCACTGTACATGCTCTTGCTAAGTGATAAAGAAAAAAACCTGTGCATTGAACCTTTGGAAACAACCCAACCACTGGGAACCCTCGTTTTTTTTTTCGGAAACATTTTATTGGAACAAAAGACTACCGTCAAAGGGTAAAAAACGAACCATTTTCGTCGGTTTGTTTTTAGGGGAAACAAAAGCATCTAATCCAATCTGCCAGGAACTACTTTGTTCTGTATAGGAAGTTTTTAGTACCGTATATGATGCAATGCAGTGAACAAAAATTGGGTCATTGAAATCAGATAGCCACATTGATGTTACGAATTAGGACGTGCTCCAGGCATTGAAGTCTATAGAACTTTTGCTAAAATATTTACTTGCCAAGGAACATGCTGAAATCGAAGTTACGCACACTGCCTGTGCTGGCATCTGTAGCAGGAACTGTTCTAAAGCAACTCTAAAGCAAATGCTAATTTGCATGTGCATTCATCAGTATTTAATTTGGGTTCTTTTACTTGGAATCTTAAAGGCCTAAGTTTCAAAATTTTTTAATCTTCGTTAATCTAATAAATGTAATCTTTAAAGCCTAAGTTTCAAAATTTTCTGAAAAATATCTTTTTTCAATTTTGAGGTTTTCGGTTTTAGAAACTAATTATACACTCTTGCACTAAATTTCATAACCATGTGCCAAATAGTTATGGTGGTATAAAATATTTTCAACACATTATGAGGCAGTAAAAAAGTGAAGTAGTTCAATGTATGAATGCATTTTTCTCAATTCCACTTTTTGCTGCAAATTTCATACGAAGGAATCTTGTTCAAAGGTAAAATTATTCTGATACCACAATCAAGATGTTCCTGAACTGAAATTTACTGGAGAATCATGCTATCTACCTTATTTTGTTTTAAGTTAAAGTCCTCATTGAAAAAAAAAACTCAGGCTATCTACTTTATTTTGTTTTAAGTTAAAGTCCTCATTGAGAAACTGTTTTCAAAAATTTACATAAGATATGCATTTCATATTTTGAGGTAATCACTCTTCCTGAAATATTTACATTCGAGTTATAAAAACTGGATAGCCCGAAGTTTCACATCCCCCACTTTATATTCAAGCAGTTAAAATGATGCTCAATAGCCTCATTTTCATATCATAGATTTCTTAACAAAGTGACACGTCTTATTCAGGTATGTAAAGTTGTCGTAGAGAGCTGAAAGCTTGCACAGTACACCTACATCTCAAGTTAAATCTCCCCTGCAAATTTCATTCCGATCACATGAGTAGTTCAGAAGTTAAACCTCTAGCCAGTGTACCTCCTACTGGCACTTTCAAGCACAATTGTGACCTTTGCTGTCATGTCAATCGAGCTACTTAAAAAGCATGTCTGACATAGAGACAACCAAATTATATATGAAACCATTTATTATTGCAAGAGCCTGCTTATAAAAAGCTAATAAATTATCCACAGGAAATAGACCAGACTTGTAGTGTGTCCACACTCTTGTGGTGCAATTAAAATAAAGCAGCGTGTTAGGAGGCCACAAGTGCTTCCTCTTGTCTTCGAGCTTCCTTCTTCACTTTGCGGGGGGGCTCTGGAAGAGATTATGAAAACTCCAAGTGAGCCTAAGAGGGATTAACATGTGATGGTTGATGTTGGAAGGGACTCGAGAAATTAACGACCACTTTACCTCCCTTTTCGTCTTTTCGACCGAACCACTTGGCACCAAGACCGCCGTATAAAAAGAGGTAATGACATCTCCGTACTCCGCAGTAAACATTCTATTTTTCACTTATCTTGCTTTTGAACTTTCCTCCCATTATGATTGTCCCAAGACCGTAAACTTGTGTGCAGTCGTAATCGTAAATTGGAATGCAGTCGAAGGCTAAAAGATTCAAACGCATATACACAAACTAAAAGTGCACTGTCACAGTGCACTTTCAGGATTTGATTGGATTAGCCACGAAGAATGTTCCCCAAAGAAAGATGCTGAGAGTTGTGGTGCTGGGCTTCTGGCGTTTCTTGACTTGGGCAACTGGCTCGTAACCTTTGCTGTGCTCCGAAATCGTGTGCATTCCCTCTACTCGCACCTCTATTACGCACACACTTCTCTATTTCTGGCTCTTCGGCACTCGCCAGTCTTCATGACCATCCCAGAACAGCAAGCGGCTTTGTTTAAAGGATGTCAATACATTTCCGCATAGAGGGGCTTCAATTGATGCCAGCTTGGAAATCTTGTGCAATTATTTTTGGTGCATCATACTACCACACGACTGTCGGAATACAAATGAACATTCGCCCGACAGGGTACGGACACTTTTTGGGCCCATTTAAAACGGTTGCCTGTACTCCTTGCGCGACATTAGCTCATCTCTGCACACAACAACTTAGTTCTGTAAAAATCTCATGGGAGGTGCCCACAGATACAGCTACAACTTGGGACCCCATGCATTTTACAACATGTCTCCCCAAAATATTGTGTTTTTTCTTGCAAAAATTAACTATGCATTGCCGAATGCTCAGTTTCCGCTCAAATGTAGCAATGGTGGTCTGAACCAGATTGCCAAGGTTTTAGCACTAACCGTTATTCAAAAGTTATAAACCATTTTCTGAAAATTTCAATGGGAAAAATGGGGCCCGTTTTCGGCAACTGGTGCCATAGAGCTTCATGTATTCAAAAGGCCACATTTTACATTTCAGAAAAGCATACGGCGATGCGTAGTTCATTTTTGCAATGAAGAAACACTGTTCTTTTTCTTCTTTTTAACACCTCAAAGATTTCAAATTGGTTGCAAACCTCGGTCAGCAATGTCTGGTAAGCCGACTTTAGCCGGCTCTCCCATGTCCTCCACCGGCACGCTGGGCAGCCCCAGGACGGCTTTGGCTTCCTCTTCGGCTTCCAGCGCCTCGAGCTCGGCCAACACCGCCTCGTCGTCTTCGGCCGTCAGCTGGCCGCTCAGCAAGTCGTCGATTTCCTACACCGCAAATGCATCGCCGATTGTAGTGCAGATGAGAATATTGATCTCGCATATAAAGTTAAACTATGCAGAATGCATTTGCTCGCGTCGCATTCTCCTATCTAATCACGCGACGCCATTGGCCCAACGCAGTCCCGTGACGCCAACCATGTCAACCAAAGTCTTGTGACAAGGAGAGGAGAGCTCCCCAGTGGGCCGATGACATCGTCGGTGTGAGGTCGTCATGTCACACTTTGTCGAAGCAGACAACTGCCCTTGAATGTAGTCCTCTGTGCACAATGCCCAATCGGCACTCCGGATCAAACGCCAAAGGAAAGCGACGAAGTCGAGAAAACGTTCGAAAGACGTCACCTTCTGCTTCTCGATGCCCTCTTGCGTCTCGTCCATGATCCGCTCGATCTCATCCACGGACAGCATCTGCACAGTGTTCGCAAGAAGCGGTCACAACTCGACATTGCAGACGCAGCTCTTAGAGAAAGGGGCACTTGAACGGTAGGTTTCGTTTTATACCATCAATAAGTGGCACAGGTACTCCAGATTATAAGGTGAATTGGAGTAAAGCCAACCTGGAAAGTGCCAGAGCAGGCGTCGTAGGTGAAAACCGTTGTTTTAGTATCCAACGAGCAGAGGCACGAGTATCTTGAAAGCCTTTACATCCCTTCTGTTACTGACCCATTACTGATAGAACTAAAGGGACACTAAAATATCTGTCTCGTTCTTTAGAAAGCAAGACTCAAAGAATGCAGACGATAAAATAATGTTCCTTTAGCAAGTTTCTCCCCAAATTTCGTAACATCCCTCCAACTTGTCTAGGCTCACAAAGTTCTGGGACAATTCTATGGTTTCACTGTTTCTACACCTACTGCTATCCATATCTTTCGTGATAAGGAGGGCACATGCGAAGTCATTCGAAGGGAAATGGCACGATGCACGCGACAACCGGCATTTTTGCGTTGAACGCCGGGGGTAGATGAATCACTCGCCTGGTGCAACTTCTTGAGAGATTCGTTGCCGACTTTCAGACCTTCGACGACCTGGATCTCGATCTGGGCGTACTCAATGTCGTGCGTCTGTAATCAATTGGGAGGAAACATTACTGGTTAAAAAACATCCTCACTGGAAGCGGTTTCTTCCTTGTACTTGTGGGAACCTGCATCTTGAGCCAATGTCGAACAACTTAAAAAGACATTGGCACCCCCCACCATCTTTTTTTTTTTTTGCCAGGCGATTTATTTTGGCATTTGAAGACTACCCAATCAATATTTTGCTACAGCGTCGCGTCTATTTTTAATTAAGTGAAAAAATGCAACTGCCCGAAAGCAGACTGGGGAGGAAGAGCGTGTGCAGTTTTTTAGAAGCCACAAAAAATGGCTATCATTCTTTTTTCAATTTTTAATATTGAGTGTGTGCCTTCGATGACCCACGATGATTATCTTTTGTGGTAGTGGCTAAACCATAGAAAACAGCACGTGACTACGAAGAAGAGAGTGAGCACGACTAAAACCGGCCAGTTCTCGATCGGCGGTTTTCGGGCGAAAGAAAATTAATTTCAAACCGCAAATTGTGCTCTGGGTAGTTCGGCTCTCATATATAATGTACAAATAAAAACCCTGAAGAGCATAAATATGCTGTCAGTGTCCCTTTAAAGGCAATATTAAAAAATAACTTCCATAAAAAAAAATCATGGCAACATTTTGCTTATTGAATCGTTTCTAAGTCTTACTCAAGTAGTACTTCAGAAAAGACATTGCTCAGTTTATTAGGTAAATAAAAAAAGAAAACGTTGTGTTTGCTAAATGCTTTCAGTATAAACCAGGCAGTTGAAATGAAACTTCAGTTGACCAACGTTTGGATAAGAGGGGCACGGCTGTGCTATATAGAAGGAAGTATAAGTAGCAACTTTGCTTGTTAGAAGTGAAAGTGTGTAAATGATAAAACCTCAAACATTTCTTCCAAGGCGAAGACAATAAAAGAATAGCTTCAGTAGTAAAGTATAAGGGATATTAGTAAGACTACTATATACTAAACAAAACTCTCTAGATTGTGTAAAGCATTTTCTTGAAGAGAAACAAAGCAGGACAGGAAACAACTAAATTACTTAGCACATTGTTCAAAGCTGGCATTGTTAAATTCAACCCTTTGGTTCAAACGGTGTTGTAAAACAAGACGGACCTGGCACAACATCTCGCACGTGACGTTGACGGGCAGAGATTATGTAAAAGTTAATGAATGAATCACCATTCTCTCAAGGTTGGTTAGTTGGCCATCTGTCTTTTCCAGCATCTGCTCCATGAAACGCTTCTTCTTGAGAAGCAGCTTCGCTTTCCTGAAACGGTCAAAGAGAGTGGCGTGTGATCAAACTAAGAACACAACATTAAGCGTGCCATTTATCCTTCATCAGGATTGTTTCTTCATCGCCGGTGCAATTGTATCAAGCACCCAGCTATGCATGCGTGGGGCCATTCAGAAGCTCTTATTCAGCCGAGTCGTCAACAACAACTTAGGTTTATCACGGGGCCTGTCAGCCAGGGTAGTAGCATTCCTTCCCACAAACATTCTGAGACCATCTGTTGGTGTTAGCTCAAGCTGGAGCACAGGCTACGCTACCGCACAAAAATGCAATGCCATTTTCATACAGCACACTTCGTATTATTAACAATCCACGCAAGATCTCTGCTCCGCCTAATATATGAATCTTCCAGAATCCTCCGCGACACATGTACTCCCAGGTGTGGCAAACTGCTGACGGAACAAGACCATAAACAATGTTAAACACATTTCCCTTCGTTTGCAGCTTAAAAAATTGCAAATTCTCATTGCCAAATAGTGTACAGTAGCTTGAAGTGATGCCGCCTGGTTAGACATAATGGGGGAAAGGGCGTGCGAGAGGGCAGCTTTCGCCAGAGCCACAGATAGGGGAAGAGTTTGGCCATCTATTGTCCTCGGTGACCCCTTGCTGCCTCTTGGCTCCTCCCACAAAAGTGACGCCGTGCAAGCGACGCGCGACTTTCCTCCATTACCGATTTCACATTCCACGTGCACTCATTGCAGGACCATATGCAATTCTGTGTATCGACCTTAGTTTTTTTTTTAGGTTTTCTGGTTAGAAAAATGGTTGGCTGAATGCTCAACCACAGCAGTCAATAAGTTCTTTTCTTTGTAATGACTCCGAAAGAAAAGAATAAACTTCAAAATATATAGTTGATAAAAATTATTTTAATTGCTCACAGCAGGCTTCCGACTTTTAGAAACAAAAATGCTTGTTTTGACTTCATGTTTTTTTATATAGAATAGAGCTGTCATTTCAGTTGCGATCATACACGTACAAGTTTCTAAATAATGGTCAACTATGGAAGGCCCAGCTATGGAAAGCCGTGCAAGTGCCTGGCCTCACGTTTGCAAAAGTAATCGTCCGCATCTCGACCAACACGGGTGCCTGGTTAGAACAAAGACAGAGGATGTTGGTCACCAGGCGCTGAGCTGCCATGGCAATGTGGCGATTGAGGCCATACAAGGAGACATTCGCGGTGGTTGACGCTTGAGACACGGGAGGCCTCCAACACAAGCTCACCTACCGTGGTCGGCTTCTCACCATGAATAAAAGTTGATGGGCCCGGTGGGTATTTGATTAGATCAGTCTTAACTGCATCCAAACTGGCTGGGTGAAGCGTGTCTACCATCTTCGCAAGAAGTATGGTTTTTTTTCTCCGACCCCGTCCAGGAGACATCTACGACCAAGTCAGCCAGTGAGGTGAGACGACGAGTACAAGAAGCGGAGACAGCGCACTGGGTCAAGGAAGCAGGTTCGAAATCATCTCTTCAATTCCACATCGCCCACAAACCCAGTATAGAATCGGAAAGCTTCTACGACAACAGCTTGGGCAGCCGTCTCATGTTTGAGGTCCGAGGAGCACTGTGAACACAACTATAGGGTGGTCCAAGTCAACAGGCTCGATCTAAAATGCACCGTAAAAATCGACGCCTGCACTTTGGCATCTAAACTTTTCGTCAAAGGTGTATTTCACAGGTCGTTTTTTTCTTGTAAAATTTCAAAGTGTGGTTCTCTTTTAGTAAAAAATGGGGCCAAGAAACTTGCCAGGGTATGCGGCGGGCGGTGACCCAGATGACCAAGTCCAGTAGCGGGGTGTGTTTGGCGTTCATATTGATAGATGGCGTCGGGAGCAGCATCTGTAGGTGCAGCCGACCAGCGAAAGATAGCAGACGACACGCAGACGAAATCTGCTGGCAGCAAAAGCGCCGCCGTTATGCAGACGCGTTTTTTACTTGAAGTTTTGTTTTTATTGTCTGCAATTATTTTTTAACCGAAGGTACATTTGAAAAAGATTATGTTCATTTCAATAAACCACGGTGGTTGCGAGCCGTCGCGATAACCAGGTAGCGCCATCTACCAGTACAAACGCCAAACTGGACCCCTGTCATCTGCATCGCCGCCGCCGTTGAGCCTGGCAAGTTTCTTGGCCTTATTTTTTATAGGAAGGGGGCTACGCTTTGTAATTTTACAAGAAAAAACTGACCTGTAAAATACACCTTTGAAGAAAATTTTAGACTGCTACGTGCAGGCGCCGATCTTTACGGTCCATTTTAGATCGAGCCTGGTGACTTGGACCACCCTATATATCGACAGCGGTTTGACCCCTCGATAGCGACAATACACTGTAGCGTCTGCGACTGGGAGGTGGAGACAATCAACCACTTGGTCCTGCGTTGTCCAGGCTTTACGCCAACATGGGATGAGGCGCACCGTGTGCACAGCAATCAAGCGTCGATGAACCACAACAGACGACAGAGCGCGCCGCCAACTCCCGTGCAGGTACCAGTTATGCTACAGCAGCCGCTAGGCTTCCATCCACCCACAAGCCATGGCAACAACAGCACAGAGAGGTGGAGAGTCGATGTGACAAAGTGACGACTGCAGGATTGGTGGAGGAACAAAGACTAATGGGGACACTATGTCAGCAGGCTGGGAACGTTAATAGGTGAACACCCGTTACAAAGGGGAATGCCACATGCATCATCATCATCATCATCATTCCGCGCGTCTGCCTCAGCCAGATAACATTTCGCGGCACCTTACGCCAGTCCCTGTTATCTCGTAAGCGTCAAACGGAAGCGACCGAAAAAAAATTTGACCACTAGGAAGAAAGGAAGCGCAGGCGCAAAGCGTCGTGAGAGGGCGCAGCCAGGCTCTTCGGCTGGCGCACCCGTGGCCCGCAAGCTTTTGCTGCCGACTGTACAGGTGAAGACAGGACAGGCGCTTGTCCTGTCCAATCTTTTACTTGTATTTCGCGCTGTTTCTTTGTGGTGAGCTCACTCTTTTCTGCCATCTTGAAGTAGCTTCTTAGCCAGTTGTCGCTCATTTTCTAGGCTTGTCACGATCTTCTTCTGGTACTGCTTGATCTTGTCTCGCTGCTGCTTTAATTGCTGGGAGGCAATAAAAGGATAATGGTCCAATGAGGGGCGTAGCCGTTTTAGGCAATATGGAGTAATCACAGCAGCAGCACTAAAGACTGTGAGGCTTTTATTACCTACCAGAACTGCCTTGTCATGTTCGGTGACCCTGCTGACCTTCTTGTGTTTTCCGAACAGGCTGCCCATCGTAGAGTACTTTTGGGAAAGAAATTTGGGAGTCACAAAGTTCCTGCAGCTCCCAAGTTTACGAGCGCCGCCATGTTATTGATAGCACTGCTGAAGACGGCCGTGCATACGCAGCGCTAGTCTCGAATTATTTAAAATATTTTATTTCCAGTAAATTTAAAATTTTAAAATAAATTTATATTTTGAAAGTAAATAGAATATATAATTCTTTTAGTTCATTTACTGTTTATTAATATATTAAAAGGAGCACTTACTAGAAATATATATAAATGCGTACACATCGATTTGTTTATTTAGACTGGAACTTGCGCCATCTAGCCATTGTTGCGCACACCATACCACATGCGCGAACCGCGCGCACACAGGGCAGACTAAAAGCAGGGAACACGTGAGCGACAAAAACGGGCGCCGCCTGAAGGACTGGAGGGGCTCGCCTGAAGCGTTAAAGGTGACATATTGAGCCTCCGGCTCAGCAACATTTCCTTTGATTTCCTTGCTTTCAAAACTCTGACTGACTGACTCGCCTGAAGCGCGTGGTATTGATCGCGAGAGGTGTCGACATCGACGCGTTATCCAGAACGTGTGCGCATGCGCGGCTGCACGCGCGAAAATATGAATCTTTAGTGCCGCTTTGGTGGAGTGCACAGAAGATTTCTGATACAGTTACGACATGCCAGCGGTCGTACCGTGGCATCAATTACGCTGCAGCACGATCGTTAGCAACATGACGCTTCAATGCCTTCAATGGATTGGACCGGTACAAGCTACATTATCCTTCCTTTACTTGTTTCAGCGTAGTTAGCTGCGACTTTCGGTTTGTCGGATGGTGAGCATTTTAAATGAAATGCCCACTTCCTTGGTCGCAAAGGCCGAACATTAGATATTTGAAAGGAATATCTAAAACTCGAAAGCAGTTTTTTTGTTTCTTTTTTTTTTTTTCTATCTTATTTTATAGTGGAACGAAACAGCACATACTAAAGTCCGAGATTGTTTTAGTATATTTTTAATACCCCAAGTTAACTTCTCTGTCTTCTTTTCTGCCCGTCTTCTTTTTCTTGACCTTATTCAGCTCGCTTCACTTGTCACTCATTCTTGTGTTCATTTATGCGACGAACCACCCAAGCGACGGTCGCAAAGGGGTGAGAATCTTTTATTTCTTCATGGCTGCCACGGCCATTCGAGGACCACCCGACGTTCACTTGTAAGAAATGGCTTATAAGCCGTGACAATTTTTATCGCGCGTTTTAACATTGAACTTAAGTACAAAAACTGAGACATTGTGGGCTGAACAAGTAATGCTTTATACACGTTTGCAAGTACGGCTTCAGGGCGCTGCCATCTTGCTTGGCTGGGGTGCGCTTGGACGAGCCATAACCCGATTACGAAGCCTTGCTAAGGCGTCGTAATCGGATTACGGCCGCGCCGAAGAGCGCACCCCACGGGGAAAGATGGCGGCGCCCTGAGACCGGACTTGCAAACGTGTATAAGATTCAAAGAAAACAAGCATCTATTTCACATCATTTTGAGCATAAAACATGAGCACACGTAGATCAGGCAAGGAAAAGTTGTAATAGTTTACAGCACGGCATTGAAATAATGGTTACAATGTGCAGCGCATTATCCTCTTGAGGGTAAACCATCTGAAACCCACACGCTTATAACAATACGTTTAACCGACAGCTGCTTTCTGACAACCAGGTAAGTCTCGCCTGAGCTGGGTATTCGAAGGGAAAGAAAGACCCATGGTTCCACAGGGGGCGGATCTGGTTCACGCAGACATGCAGGGTGTTTTTGTTTTATTTTTTACAGAACTTTACATATTTTACAGAAAAAAAGGATGTGGCAGATATGTGGATGCCGTTTTTCGTTATATCTGTAGAGCTCGGTGGACAATAAATGGGTGAATAACCGTTGCAGTGTTTAATAATTAACCAAAATATGTTAGTTAACTTGTTTATTAACGGCTTAATTGGCCATGGTCCAATTGCAGTTTTTAAAGGGGTCATTATTAAAGGCAAACACAATTGCGACAATTCGCGAAAAGGCAACGAGGTTCGCGAAATTTATCGTAAAAGTTTGCCTTTCTTCGCTTGATTCAGAACCCGCGTTATAAAAATAATACGTAGAATAGTGGCTCAGTCGTCTTGATATGTGGCGCCGGCGAATCAACCGAAGACACGCTATCGAGTTAGTGACGAGGGGACAGAAACAGCTGTGTCATTCCTCTACGCCATCAATAGCAGCACCTTTACAGATTTGTTAAAAAAAGAAACAGAGGGCTAATCGTCACGATATACGTCCAATAATTACCTACATTTTGTAAATTAACTTTTGGATTAGTGAAGATAAACATTGTTCCAATCAGAAACTTGCGTAGCGAAAACCACTGAATCCGTAACTTTTAGAAAGACCGAGTGCGTGGAGAGCGCACCAGTGCCTTTAATTAATAGCGAGTTCGTTTCACGGCACTCGTGCCCACGCGTGCCCACTCGCAGCGTGGAACGGGTTCGTTTCGGCCGGCACTCCACGAGTGGTTGCACTCTCCGAGTTCGTTTCAGCGCTGACACCCCACGCGTGCATGCACTCGCTGCACCGAGAAAATCGGGAGTGCGCCAGTATGCAATCCCGTCATGCCTCGCTCCGGTGGGGCCGGCGAGGAGCGGGAGCAGACGACGAGGGTTCGTCTGCTACGATGTGTCGCGGAACCGAACGGAAAAAAAAAGAGTAGATTTTCTGATAGAAATCGCGTCCCGCGGACAACGAAATCAAACGCGAGCTTGGATTGTGAGCGTCTGCTATTTCACGAAGGAAGCAATTGACAACCCGTGATTTATTTGCAGGTTTTAAATCGCTCTGTTGCCGTACAAACGCTGAAATATACCAGTGTGTAAAGAAGTGCCCAGAACAAACGCTACAGCGGCCCCCGAGATGTCTATCACCATCCGTATGCGGGTGAAAAATTTAACATTTGTCGACAAAACTCCCCCAGCAGAAACCTTTGACTGCCAAATAAGCATCAGAGAAATCTAAAGATGGAGACTTTACCCCAGGATTGGGCAACATCATCATGTTTAACATTTACCTACGTCAGTTAACTTGCCCCGTCGTATTTTGTTCGAAAAAGCTCTCGTTCTCGACGCCCTCACCAAGGCTAATATCTAATCCACCTATAATGCCGATCCAAATCGAAAGTCTCGGTTTTGCTGGATATTCCAACAGGCTAGTTTTAAGCCGTACCCTTTCAGTGGTTCACGCGTAATACTATGCTCAAACGGATCAAGCTTCTGCTCGGACAGCATCATCAGTTTTCTTCAGTGTAAACGGTTATAAGAATTGAAAGATCGCAACCAGCTGCTTTGTAGACAGCTGGTTGCGGAAATTTACGCCGTCTGTAATTATCTCTACGCAGCCTAGCTGCTTGAAGTCATCGCAACTATCAACTACACGTTGCAGCGACCAAAGTTTGCAGATAAACGTTGGTAGCGACTGCATTCTCGCATTTCCACGCATCACTCCGAACAGAAAGGCGCTAGTTTCGGTTTGAAGACGGTACCTTTACTACAACATAGATGGCGGTAGCATCAGCCTTCTGCATTCGGTGCATTTGGCGAGTTCGTTTGAGTCCAGTTTTCCGTGCAACACTCTGTGAGTGCGATGCATTCTGGGAGAGAACTCGAACGGTGCCAGTGCGTGTGAAACGAACTCGCTATAAGTTACCAGTCGTGCAACGGGCAAAAGGCTAGCGGCAAGAAAGCGCGAACAATAAGAGACGGAAAAACCACGCGACGCGTTTTCACACCTGTAGCAAGCTTAGCTTGCTCCAGCTGCACGAGAGGCAACGTTACTAAAACACTCAGTTGCGAAACTCACCCTCGAAATCCGGACCGCTCGCGTCCCCCGAGACCAAACTAAATACGACAGCAGCGCCACCCTTTAGCGACTAGTCAAAACATGAAAGTTCATTTATATTGCTACTGCGAAATGGCAATGCGAGATGGCGCCACCGACCTTTGCGTGAGTCGACCTGAGCCGATACACGCAGACGTGTAGTTCCCGGAGTGGCCGCTGCGGGAGAAATAACGGCGTTGCTGTCGCAATTGGTTCGGTTCTCGAGTACGCTTGGAAGCCACTTTTTCAAAGCAGGCTCTATGGCAGTTTCACAGCTGAGTTGTTCTATAGTGCGTTACAACTCAAGAAGGTAGGGCGAGGTGAAGGAAGGCCAAGGAGAAGGAAGCAGACAGAACAATGGAGAGAGGAGGAGGTTTTCCGCTCTCCTCTCCAGCGCTCCACCTGCTTCCTCCTCCCCTGCCTTCCTTTCCCTCATCTTACCTTCTTGAGCTGCAACCTACTATAGTAACGTTGACGCGAGGTAACTTTAGCTCTCCACCGTGCTTCCAACGTGCTCCAAGTCTTTTTTGAAGTTAACTGATTTAGTGGTTCTCTATGACTCTGAGCAACTTTCTATTTTGCAAGCATTTGTTTATTTTTGCTAACTAAAGGGGCCCTCCTGCAAGGTCTTTTTAGAGCGCAGCTCTTAGGGGCCCGTTCTCGGCTTGAGCGGCGTCGCCGTCGGCGTAACCAAGGTCATCCCAAGGTCACGTGACCCCCAAGGTCACGTGACCCCTCCCAAGGTCATCTCAAGGTCACGTGACCCCACGTGACCCCCTGAAGGTCACGTGACCCCTAAGGTCACGTGACCTTGGGGGTCACGTGGGGTCATCTTGGGATCACGTGACCCCTTGAGGTCACGTGACCCCTTCCAAGGTCATCTCAAGGTCACGTGACCCCAAGATGACCCCACGTGACCCTTTGAAGGTCACGTGACCCCCAAGTCACGTGACCCCTCTGAGGTCACGTGACCCCCGAGGTCACGTGGTCTCCTCCCCAAGGTCACGTGACCCCCGAGGTCACGTGACCCCTTCCAGGGTCATCTCAAGGTCACGTGACCCCAAGGTGACCCCCAGGTCACGTGACCCCTCTGAGGTCACGTGACCCCTCCAGGTCACGTGACCCCCAAGGTCACGTGGGGGTCAACTTGGGGGTCACGTGACCTTGAGGTGACCCCCAGGTCGCGCCTCCCCGAGGTCACGTGACCCCCTCCCCGAAGTCACGTGACACCCCCCCCCCCCCCCCGAGGTCACGTGACCCCCCCCGGAGCATATTAAAGAATGAGGGGAGGAGGAGGAGAAGGGGGAGGGGTCTACCCTCCCCTCAGTACCCTTCACTCCTCCTCCTCAAGAGCTGCGCTCCAATTCGGCGTTACAGGGATTTGTAAACGGCTTTCACTTTTTTTTACTGGTTTTTAATTGGCAGCGAACCAGAGAGCACTGAACGTAGTAACTTAATAAAACTTCTTTTCTCGAATTTCGCTTTATTTTAAAAATTATGGGCAAATTAAAATTACAAAAACAAGCAAAAAATAACCTCCTTCATGACGACCTTGGTCGCTTGAATGGGCGTGAACTAGAGAAGGGGCAATGAACTTAGCGAGCGCTCACGGCTGCCGCACTCCGTGTCGACGGCTCGAGAGGGCTCCGCTAAAGCATGTGCTGGATAGGTTGTATGAAGCGGGAGGCCAGGGCGGCTCGCATTGCATTTGCTGCGCGATCAAACTCTAATTCGACATGACACTTCATTGGCCACAAACGACAGCAAACACGGGGTAAAGATCAGTCAGAACGGAAGTCACTTCACGCTGCCATATCGGAACGCTCGGAACCGGTCGGATCCTCGACCGCAGCTCCGCCGCGTACATCCGAACCTTTCTACGCTCGCCGCTCGTCGGTGCCTGATCCCACTACCCCCTTCCAGTATGCGCCGCCTTTTCCAACGCTTGGCGGCGGATATGTCGACGGGTCATTCCTTGTTTCAGTACTTTATAAACTGCATTCTTTTCTGATCTAAAATACTGAAGGAAAACTACTCTCATAAATAATTGAAACGGTTCGCGCCACGGATATTTTGTATTTCAACTAAAAAAGAAGGCTTTTAGAGACACTGACCAGTGGTAAGGCCATGACCAAAAACGTCACATACCGCGCGGGTCGCCCCTGTAGGTGGAGGAAGTTTCCGCATCATTCCGGTTAAAATATGACGGACTGATAATTAGTTAATCTCTACGTACCCGCTGGCTTGCCCGAACCCCAAGAGATGTGGAAATTGCAAAAAAGGTAGACGCTTAAATAGGATTGCGGGACCCTTTAAGTTAATTAACACATTTTCGTTAATTAGCCGACTTGTGATTAGCGTCCTACATTATGTCCACCTGGGGCCCTGACCTGGGGCATTATGCTACACGGCGGGGCCAAGCGGAACCAAGGGACCAGGACAGTGTCGTCTGCTGCGATAACTCACCTGCAAAAACTGTCTTAGTGTTAGCTATAACGACTTTTTTTTTAAACAAATCTGTAAGGACCTATAAAGCACCCCGTGTATATTACGTTTGTTTCTCATGACTGCTTTCATCGCGTTGCTTGACGATTTTATTTCAGACCATGGGATGGACGACCGCGCAAGTGATTATTTTAAAACCGATATCGGAGATACGAACGCAGCAAAACAACACTTGAACAAGGCGATCGAGGCATTTTGTCACTGCTGCACTTAAGGTATGGTTCTATATATATAGATAAATATTAATAGAAACCCGATTTCACCGCACCTCCGTGCACTTGGTGACTTTCGCTCGCGCCCCCTTAGTTAAACACGATTTTTAGACATGCATTGCGTATTTCATCGCAAAAACCGCTCCAGTAGTGTATTATTATTATTTTCTTTTTGTGAGATTGTTGTGGCGAAAGTTTTACGCAATGACCGTTCTACGTTTTGCAAACTATAATTACGACAGCGTTTGTTCCTGTTCCTGAATCATGAAGGTTCCAGATTATGGTAACCCACAAGACGAGAAACTGGTTATTCTGTTTCACACTTCATAACATCATAAGAAGACCGGACACTTCACAAATCAGTATTAGAAGATCCAAGTCTCTCAAAATACTTCCTTATGGTAACTGACGATATAAGAGACGTGGGGCTCGGTTTATTATGCACTCGTTTCTTTTCTCGTGATTTGTTATTCGCCGTTCTTACCGGCTAATGCAAAATCTTATTGCCACGAGCGGGGGAGTCGCCACGCAACGTTTCTCGTGAACTGACCATAGTGGCCATAGCGTACTAAAACAGAACACGTGTGCATACATAAAATAGAAAGATTCACGCCTATATAACCGAACAATAGACACACTTCAAAAAGTACAACGATTTTATCTTGGGTGATTTTCGTTGCGTGTAATAAAACAATGAGCTTCCATCGGTATTTTGTGCCAGTTTATAGCAGCATGTAAAAACTCGTAAGTAGCCTTGGTGTCGAACACTTCCATCACATTAATTTACGTTACACATTGCAATCATTTAAAACAAAAGGATAGGAGAAACAGAAGGGGGGCGGTATTGCCCTGTCAACGAAAAGGGGGAAAAAAAGAAAGCAAAAAAACTTGACATCATTAACAATAAACCGCGACGTTCGTGAAATGATAGAAGCCGCCCGTTGTTCCTCTGAAACATCGCACATAGAGGCCCCCTCTTGCTTCAATTCACTCATCGATTGGAGCATCTGAACGATCGAATCACTGCTATTCGTTTTCTTGGCTCCCGCTGTAGATCTTCTGAAACTTAAGCCAAACTCCATCGCGGGGTTTGCAGAAGATGAATGCGGTGGACAGCTCGAGGTGATCTCCCTGTGTGAAAAGAAAAACGGAGGGAGGGTATCTTGGGCAATTGTTTCTCAGACAGTTTAACACTGGATGCTTGTGGAGTCGGAAGTCATTTGTGTATAACTGTTGGAGCGAGAAAGTACCAGAAGTTTTCCCCGCTGCGCAGAGTCCGCCCGGGCAGGCTCCGCAGAGGTCGCCCGGCCGGGCCCAGACTCAGAAGGCGCGCAGCTTGTGAGGATACGCTACGTATACGAATGCTTTCGCAGTCCTACACGTTAGCAGTCTTAAGTGTCCTCCTGTAATGTTCTTATAGTCCTTGTGGATTGTTCAAGTCAAACTGATACTGTTTCGTGCAATCTCGTGCAGAAACAGTTTTACTGCATAGGGTGTGTCAAGGTAGGCCTAGTTAGCCGCAGACAGTATGACTGTTGTTCTTTGTAGGCAAAAGTTTGCCTTCATGTACGTTTTTGATGCGTTCACATTAGAGTCTACGTTCCGTCGGTGGCAATATTACTTAACGTTGAACATACCTTGACGTATCTGTCATCGGGAATAATCTTGTACTTCCCCAAAATTTTGGCAAACGTCAGCTTTAATTGCTGCTGGACGAAGCGCATGCCAACGCAGTTCCGTGGTCCATGGCCAAACGCTTGGAATGCCATGGGATTGAAATTTCTTCCGTTAGGTTTATTAAACCTGTAACAAAAACAAGACAAAAAATGTGGCCAGTTCGCTTACATAAAGCATCTAAAACTTATAATTGCGAATATTTTACTCTTATTTCCAAATATCCTCAGCAAAATTAATATTAAAAGAAAATGACTTTTTAATTAGCTAACTTAAGACCATGATTATAGGATGTGCTTTAATTTCACGTTTTTTTGCGATCTGGAAAATGTTCAAATTTTAGCAGATGACAATTTTTTTTTTTTCATCCGAAACTTATAAAAACAAGAAATTAGTTGGCGTCATGCTCTAACCATACTTATTCAGTTTTCGCTTAAGAAAAACAAACACTAGAAAGTTCTCTTTAGTCCCGCTACTGCACGTATTATGAATAGCACACCATACCTCTCTGGCTGAAATGTCTCAGGGTCGCTCCACAGCTTGGGGTCATGGTGCATTTGATACACAGGTATCAAGACGCTCATTTTTGCCGGAATCCGGAGTCCATTGTATAGACGCTCCTCCTCAGACTTTCTGGTGGTGAAACTGTTTGGTGAACAATGTTTAATGTAATTAATAACTAACATTTTTTTATTTTATTACAGTTGCTTTTATGTTAGAATTCACAGCTTTACTTTCTTCTGTCTACACGGTTCTCTGTGCAATGAACTAGGCGAAACAGGTTACCTGAATACCGTTAATTTATTTTACACTTATTTTGGTTGGGGACTTCCTGCGGATTTTTCATTCTCATTTTGATTCATTTCTCATTTTGATTCAAGCAATTGAATAGATCTCCAGGGTCGATTGAATGAATGAGGCAGTAAGTGTTGAATTAGAAAGTGTAGCACGCATTGAACTGTTTAGCCTCATATCTCGTGTTCAAGATGTCAGTTAGTGTCACAAGGGTTCGCCCATCCGCTAAATTATGGCACAATTGCATTTCCAAGCTCTGTCACAACACATTTTAGCGTGTGAGCTGACTTCATTTCATTGGATGGTAATCAGGTCCACATCGCCTGAGAAGTTGAACTTCAGAAGAGAGCGTTCCTGGCTTCTATATGTAACAATTCCAAAGTCGTTAACTTTCCTCAAATCGTCGTTCTGTTCCCACAACACTTGACAAACAATTTATGCTCTGAGAAGCGTCATATGACGTAGAAAAAGAAGGCCTGCCACTGTGAAACAGTAATATAGTTAAATGATAAGATAACAAGAGTTCACGCAACCTGACCAACGGCGGATACATTCGGATGGTTTCCAGGATCACTTGATCTAGGTATTCATTCCTGAGAATTCTGGCAACGTCCATGGATCCCTGAAACCACACGAGGATCAATTGTAACTTGCCCTTACTCAGTTACTATATAAGTATATCTACGAGGTGAAGAAGCGCAGAAATATTTACGTCTGTGTTCATTACTGGGGTGAGTTCAGTCCGCAGACGTTCCTGTACCTCTGGATACATTGCCAGGAGGAAAGCCATACATGACATCAAGGAGGCTGAATTGTCGTAACTGCACGCGAAAGGACACAACTTATTGTTAAAAAAAGAATGGGTTTCGTTTTTCAGTAAATATCTTGTTACGTTTATAACCTACTTATATTTTCAATAGCAGACTATGCCCAAGTAGGATAATTCTTTGAGCTACATTTTTTTTTTCCTTTTGGCAACATGAATTCGTGAACGCCCCAAAATGGCCATGGTATAACCAATTTTGATCTTTTTTTTTTCCATATTTTTAGGCATTTTGGCCGTAAATTGCCAAACAAGTATACCAGAGTTAGACTTCAGTACCTTCTTGTTTGGGGTTCACCTGGCTTCTCTGGTCTTTAGTTTCCGAGGAAATATCGAAATGGATAATTATTTCTAAGAGTTCTCTTTACACCTGGCCACATGAAGCCTACATTTCTAAAGTTCTGGAACTTCACTGATGGTCGCTCGTTTGATACGCGTCATCTTTGACTCATTTCAAAGCCATAGAAAAACCATGAAAAAGCAATAACGAAACCGATAAAAAGTATTTTGGCACTAAACAACGCATTGGGGAGACACCTAATATAATTAGCCTCCGTCAGGCCCACGTCAGGCTTCTAGATTGCCAAACTTAGGTCAAGTTAGGCGTTTCTTCGAAGTTCTGTCTGAGACGTGGTTTCTACATTGTGGGTCACCGATGGGTCACGGCAATTCTGCCCCGCACAGAGGTTGCTCATGGCTAAAGGGATCGACTGCACTTTCAGCGTTCATTCTTTCTCGAAGACGTCGCTCACGCACTACACAAAAGGACCGAATATTCGTGGCGCCGTACGCAAGCTGGCATATGCTGCCACCGCGGTGATCCACGACGCGGTGAACGTGTAAAAGTTTCAGTGATTACAGCGGCATTGATCGCACTATAAATGTACCTAGGCCAATCTTCTTCGCTGCAAGGCGCGCGGAAATCTAATAGGAACACTATAAAATCGCTTTGGCACCACCGACACCGCTCCGGACATCCGCCTCGAAGCGTGCGTCGAAAGCGCAAAGAGGTTCATTTCCCCATACTATTATCCGTTTCACTTTACACCGTTTCACGATGCACTTTTGGTACGACTTGATTCGTTCCATCGGACCGTGGCGTCATCTGTGGCCGAACATAAAGTCAAATAGAGTAAAGCATATTTCCACAATACACCATCTACTAAAGCGTGAGTCTTTCATCAACAACTACTGGTGAAACGATCAAAACGACCAGAAAAATCAAACAAACAAAACGGTTTGACACAGGTGTGTATGCACTTGGACATGGAACGTTTGAGTTATTATGCTCGTAAAGTAACAGTATGAGTGTTATAACGGAAGCATTACGACAGTTCTACGTCCGGATCTTCCGGCTTCCGAGCGAGTAGAAACACGTGTTAGGTTTACGAACATGTTGACGACTGTGGTTTCCGTTGCGTGACTGGTATAGCTAGAGCTACAGAGTACATGCTCCGGTCTAGCTGGAACTATAGAATCGGCAGCAAAAACAGAGATTTATGTTATTGGCCGGTACTAGAATCGAATGCAACTACATTTTCATCGATTATTTTTTCATAAAAAAAGCACGTTTTATTACGTTTGACAGAAAGTTTCTCGTTAAACCAATGTGAGCACAGCGAACCTTTAGTGCTTGAAAACTTAGGTTTGATTGTAGTTTTCAAATAGGACAACATAGAAATTGCATGATTGCTCCAGCTATCGCATTCCATAGATTCCAACCTGAACTATACAAAAAAAAAAAAATACACACTGATATTTCTTAGTGAATAATGTCGGACATATTAAGCTTTTAATTCCTAGAGATAAAATAACAATCACCGCACGCAGAAACGAATAAGTACGGATGCTGCGGCAGCTTTGAACATCCTGAAAACTACGAGCCACGGGAAGTGGATAAGCGTTTTGTTTTCTGCTATCGACCGACACAGGGTTTATGTGGAGAGCAAGTCGTCTGCTTCTTTTTCAGGGGTTATGGTGACGTCAGAACGACGCCGTGCTCTGATTGGCTCTGACTGAAGGATAGTGGGTAGACCTCAAAGCAAGCTGCCTTGAGGACTACCCACTGTCCTTCATTCGGAACCAATCAGAGCTCTGCGTTCTGACGACACCAAAACCGTTGCAAAAGAAGCAGACGAATTTGCGCTTCGCATAAACAAGCCCGCGTTTGCTCACACCTGGCGTTGGCACTGAGCAGAAACCAGATTCGCCCGTGGCGAAGCATCTGCGCATGCGCAGCGCCGACAGCAGCGCCACCGCAGTGGCATGACGTCAGAGAGTTGAGTTGGTCTATTATATAGTCATAAACACCTGAAGAAACGCAAGTGTGGCGACACCTGTGCATATTAATATCTTGCAGTGGACATTAGGATTGAGGCATTAGCTGATAGCGAGGCCGAAAACCCAAATCACAAAGCAAGGAGCGTTAATAACCATGCCATGCGGCTTTTTATATATATATATATATAGAAATAGAGCAGGCGTTGTTTGGTTTGCCTGCCTCGGTTTCATTCGATTTCACGTCAGCGCCATTTTGATCGACGTATACATGGGGGGATTCGGCTGATTCGGCGGCGGCGTGTGGCACCTAAAGGCACCTTCACTCACTTGAAACCGAGTAGGACCTAGGACCGGATGCGCTGCCGCGGGGATGGTCCAAACGCTTCGCAAGAGTCTTAAAGAACCCTCTTGTCTCAGTCGGTCCTACTCGACGGCAAGTGTGCACGAACGGGCCTTAACCGGTGGTTTTGTTAGTCGTCGATGTCAGCACCAAGACGCGGTTCCGACAAAAAAAAAAATATATATATATATACTGAAGATAGCGATGACAATACGGAAGAACGGGAACCAAAACAAGAATCCTCCGTTGGATCCTGCGACGCTCGGGAATCAAGGGAGACGATATTGCTGACAAAGTCGCCAATTATCCTTTCCGAAAACGCGAATCATTATAAACAAGAGCACCCATACTCCGTTGACGAAAACAATTGGAACATTGAATGTGACTCAACAGCCACCATAAAGGAGACAAAAGGCAACTAAAAAAAGAACAAGAATTCATTCCAGTGAGGAGGTAGACATCGAACAGTTATTTTGAGAAGGGTAAGGACTGCCAGCGTCATTTCTCTGTACCTTGTCAAGAAATGGAAGACACGAGACAAAAATTAGACACAATTCACGCCGGAGCCACCTTCTGCAGAGAAAGGACGTCAGCCAAGACTGACCATCTTTTATGAGATTGTAAACAATTCAGAAAAAAAAAAAAAAAAGAAGAGACGGGACACTTGCAAATCTAGACCCACAAAAACAGGCCGACAGATATATTCGAGCGTGGTTAAAGCATTCAGGCGGTTCTAAAAGACTCCAGCTAATGGGATTCCTAGTCTCCCATTTGGAGTAAACTGGCCTGAAAAAAATGTTTTTTTTTTTGTTTTTTTTTTGGTTAGGTTATGCTATAGTGCAACCGGATTTTATTTTTAGAGCGCAGCTCTTAGGCGCCCGTTTCCGGCTTGAGCGCCGTCAGCGTCGGCGTAACAGCGCGTTGCATTATGGGACACTTCCCATAATGACGTCACATGTGACGTCGCGACTGACGTCACGAGTAACGTCACAAGAGTTACGAGGGAGGAAAAGGAGACAAGTTTTTTCCGCTAAACTTAGCGGAAAAAAAAATTCTGTTAAATTTATCGGAAAAACATCTCCTGTAAATTTAGAGGAAAAATTTCCCCGTACATTTAACGAAAAAATTTCACCGCTAAATTTAGCGGAAAAATTTCCCCGCTAAATTTAGCAGAAAAGTTTCCCCGCTATATTTATCGAAAATATTTCCCCGCTAAATTTAGCAGAAACATTTTCCCGCTATATTGAGCGAGAAAATTTCCCCGCTAAATTTAGCAGGGAATTTTTTCCGCTGAATTTAGCGGGAAATCTAGCGAAAACTTCCCGCTAAACGAGAGAAGAGCTAGAGAGGAGGAGAGGAGGGAAGGAGGGGCATGCCCTCCCCTCCGTACCTCCCCCTCCTCCTCCTCAAGAGCTGCGCTCTAATTCAGCATTACAAAAATTGTAAACGTCTTTCATTTTTTTTTTTTTCACGAATAAACATATTTTTACTTACACAGCTCACACGAAGGCATTTCGGAATGAAAAATCACACCTTTTCTGGTTCTCCATCTCGGCAGCAGAAGGTAAACAAATAACTCTATTTGGGTGTTTTCGTACCGGGAATATATAGTGGCTTTATAGGTACAACTGCTAAGAATGTTTTTCGGCTTGCTTCGAACTTTAGGTAAAAACAAAAACATTTTGCAAGTGCTTAAAAAAATCATCAAAGAAGACGTACAGGACTCTGGTTCTAGAGAGCGCTTTTAGATAATTTAAGAAACCATTTTTTTAAGTCTACCAGAGGCTGTGGAATTATAGAGCTAACATTTGTATGGAATATTTTGTTGAAATATCAGGACGTGACAGTTCTATTGAAACACTGAGAAGCATGCCAGCTCAAAATCGCTTTGAAGCACTCAAAAGATCAGAAAGACTAGAACTATGAACACTTCGGAAGTTGCTTGCTTACCCATCAATCAGAGTGCTGTGTATGTTTGATTGGATTTCGACAAGGCTCAGAAATTCTTTTTTCTTTGTTCCTCTTCAGTTGATCATCTATGAAAAAGTACCACTTTAGGAGCTATCACAACAGGCCTATTGCAGAAAGTTTAATGACTTGCATGAATATTGACATTACAACTTTAACAAGAGTAAGTACAAATTACCCCAATTGAATGAAGCCAATTATTAAAAAGTACTACAAATCTTACGAAACTTACATTTTAGACTTGCATCGCCATTGCTCATTGAAAGCCGTTGATTATTGACGGATCCACCACCATCAAACTTGGAGGTTAAAAGCACATGCAGCAGGTCATCGTGACTCTCCTAAAATCACACAAGTGTGT